CACCCCTACCATATCTCTTCTAGATGTACAGTTACTTAAATACAAATTAATCTTTCTAGGCCTCAGTTTACTTATCTGCAAAATAGGGACCATAAAATACAAGTCCTTACATAGTAGTGATGATTAAACTATGTGATAATGTACATAAAGCCCTTAGCTTAGTACCTGAAAATAAGCATTCAATAAACATGACGATAATGATTAAACATGATAACAATAATGTGATGATTACTAATAATAAAGGGCACTGGAAATTATTTTATACTAAGTCCCAGAGCGGTCTTAGAAATCTGAGAAATCCATTCTATTTTCATTACAGTCCTTTAATAATCCTGGTCTCCTGCTTCTCCATGGCAATGATGAGAGAATTTCTCCATTGTGAGGATATCAGATGATAGCTAAGCTTATGGGTTGATACAACTTAGATATCTTTAAAAAATAATGTTATAAATACATACACATTCTGACATAGCTTGACTTTCTAGAGAAATTATTTCAACTGATGCACATTGACCATCCAAGCATTAGAACATTTTTCCCCCAATGTCATATTTGACAATGTCATATTGCCACAACTGTTATCACAGCAATAATGACATTTTAATGAGCAGAAATGGGATGGCTCATTTGGAGAAGTATTTCAAATTATGCAAAATCTGTGGGAACATGGAATTAAAGTATGAGTTAATTTTGGTACAAAACCCCTGAAATTTTAGAGTTTTTCCATAATATGCATTTTCCATATACTTTTTGAAGATACCCCACCCACATAAATGACTGTGGACCCTGGGAAGAATGGCTCATTACTATGGTGAACGCACCCTGAGCTAGAGTAAAAAATATGATTTTAAAATTATAGTCAAATACCTACTCTTTTTTCTCTATACATGTCCTTACTGTTTGAATTTTTGCAACTAGAAGTGCCATTATTGCTTGTATTGTTACGAGACTATCTAATTCTAAGGAAATTCTATAAGAGTAAAATTACCTCATTTTACTCATAGATATATTACATATGTATGTAGTTTAACAAACATATGATAAAAACTAAAAAGCTTGAAATGCTTTGTACCAAGCTAATAACAGTGATCACCTCAGGAAAACAGATTTGTGAGGAGAAGGGAACTTTCACATTCTAGTTTATGCACTTTCATATTGTTTCTTCTTACATTGGACATGTATTTCTCGTGTCATTTCTCAAGATTAATAAGTAAATGCTATTCGTATCAGTAGCAAAAGGTAGAGAAATGACCAAAGCAAAAGAAAGCAAACCACACAGGCCAGAACTCCAAGCCCAGACAGTGTCTACCCAGTGGATATGCTGCTCTTTCCAACACAAGGAAGGTAGGCCCATCGGCAGCAGGGCTGGAGGACAGGCGTGTCATAGGAGGAAAGAGCTGAAGGTGCACTTCACTCACTTCACCCTTTTCTTATTTTATCAAATTTAGTAGAATTCTAAATATTAATCCATAAATGGGATTGTGTTCAAATTTATATATTGTCAAGAGACGATCCAGTCTCTGTGCTTTATGTGGTCCTAAGTAGAGCCAGTAATATGTTTCCATTTTTTTCTTTATAAAAAATTTTGCTAGTTAGCACATGTACTCAATGAGAAAGACAGAAGAGAGAGAGAGAGAGAGAAAGCAAGAAAACACCTCCCAGTGGTAATGGTCACATTGCAATCCCTACTCTTCCATCTCTCCTTCCTTTGAGGATCTTGGGTGCACATCCACACATGCCTGGCATTTTCTCAATCCTACAGGTCCAGCCTCCTCAACCACTTGCCATGGGCGGGCCCATACGTTTCTTGTAAGCTCAATTCCACATTAAGTCTACTTGTCGGAAATATTTGCATACCTACAAATAAGACGGGAAACACGTTGGCACATTTTACCTTCATGGTGTTACTCTCCAGAGGGATAGTTAAGAGAATGAAAGGCTTAAAAAGTGAATTTAAGTTTGTAACAACAACAAAAAATCATTAATGCTTACCCGGTTTTCTGCTGAATTCTTTGGGTTGGCACCTACAAATACAACTTCAGCAACCTCTCCCTGAAAATAAAAACTCATTTAATGATTTAATTTTAAAAATTTGCTGTATTCATTTCTAAGGTATTATCTATTATGTATACTAGGATTCTGAATGTCTGTACAGATTCTTTTATTTTTCCATGTTTATTTTTATTCAGCAATTTCAATGCTAGGAATTTACATTACAGATAGACTTGCAAAAACAGTCTATAAAATATGTTCATTACAGTGTCAGTTTTAGTAAAAAATACATATATACAATATATATGTGCATAAGTAAATCCTCTAGTGGGGGTAATCTGTAGGAAAGGATTGTCCCAGGCAGTCCACACCAATGTCAAGGGCTTAAAGTGGGAAATGGAGATTATAGACAGTATAGCCTTGATTCACATCAAAATTAAATTCAGTTACAGAGGGATCAGCAGATGGCATAATGGTTACATCACTTGACTCCCAGGGATTCGACCATGGTTAGAGTCTTGGACCCAGTGGCTTAAAACTCACACTGGGCACAAGTGCCTATGTGCCCAACATTCTGAGAGGAAAATGGAGGAGAAGGGATTGCAGCATGGCCATCCCCCCTGGGGAGGTGATTTCTTGCTTTCTGTCTCTCTGTCTCTCCCTATCTCTCGAGCAAGTACACATGCTCAGTTAGAAAAACAAAAACAAAACTCTCTCAAAAAATAAATAAATATATTCAGTTATAGATTATATTCTATTTAATAAAGTGAGTTGTCTTCTAAGCAAATGCCTTTGTAACAATGAACACAAATTTCTAGCCAACAAATTTTCTTTTGGTGCATTCAGCTACAGATGAAGATTTAGAGCAATATTTCATATTAGTGTCAGTTCATTAAAAGGCTACTTCAGGGGCCAGCAAATGGCATGATGATTAAGTCACTGGACTCCCATATGGACAACTGTGGTTCAAGTCCTGGACCTGGTGACTTTCTCTCTCTCTCTCTCTCTCTCTCTCTCTCTCTCTCTCTCTCTTCCTTTCTCTCTCTCGTGAGCACATGTACCCTATAAAAAATTTAAATAATAATAAATAAAATTAAATAAATAGGTTTTTTTAAGTATACTTCAGTCTTCAATATTTTCTCACCCCTCTCTCCCACACACATGGAACTGAGTCAAATAGGAATAGTCAAAACCATCTTTGAACAAATTATCCTTACATGTATAATACATCTATATTTACATAAGATGGACAGGCAAAGTACATATTTACCCTTTCACCTAAAACAACTAAAAGCTGGACTAAGTATGTAGTAAACAATGGTTTCAAAGGCAGCCTCAGGCAATGAAAAACAGACAACAAGGTGGTCCTGCAACCGCCCCAGCCAAATGCCCTCAGAGAGCGCATAGGCCATGGCACAGGAGGACAGAATTAAAGCCAAGTTCATACTGGCTACCCAAGTTGAGGAAGGCCAAATAGTCTTGGGTTCACAGCATCAAATGCCAGCCAAAGAAGAATACTATAGAGAGGAGAATACCATGGAGAAGAGAGCAGGCTAGAGAGGAGAGTTAAACAGAGAGAGAACTCTGGAAACTAGCAAAAGGCTCCTCTCAACTCTGACTGCTCGCAAGGGAACTACCTAAAGGGGGAAGAAGAATACCTTAAAACTTTTGAGGAAGTGCTAGCCTCATAGCCACTAGTTAAGAGAGTCAGATCCTATGTGGCCAACTGCAGTTCAAATCCTGGCCAAGTGACTTGAAACACCTGCTATGTACATGTACATACATGCTCCAAATCCCAGCAGAATGGAGAAATGGAAGAGAAGGGATTGTAGAGTAATTCCCCAATGGGAAGTGCTTTCTCTCTCTCTCTCTGTCTCTTTGTTGCAAGTACACATGTCCTCTGGCAATTAAAAAAATAATAATAATATTAGGGAACAATCCTAGAGTCATATGGAGTTGTAAAAAGTTTCCATTCACAACAGCTAGATTAGAAAATCTCATAATTGAAAAGGGTTTTACCTCGATGTCTGAGAGAGAGGAACTTTGCCCTATATTATTGTAAAAGCTACCCTGACCTTGTTTAAAAAGCTTAGTGAAAGCAATAGGTGAAAGCAATAAAACTAAAAGCTAGTTATTTGAAGACACAAGTCACCAAAATCAGGAAGAAAAGGTGGACATTGTTATCGACCCTATAGTAATTAAAAGGATTATAAGGGAATATCATGGACAAGAACCAAATGTTCTATTACACCAACAAATTTAACAGCACATACAAAATACTAAAATTCCTAGAAAAAAAGTGCAGATTTCTAGAAAGATACAGATTTTAAAAGACAACATTTTTATAAAGACACATAAGGACTCAAGAGGGGAAAAAAGTTTTAACTTAATAGGTCTATAACCAGTAAATAAATTGAACTAGTAATTTTTAATTTTTCCATAAAGGAAAGACCAGGTCCATGTGGTATTCTGGTAAATCCAATCAAATATTGAAAGAAGAAAAAACATTTTTTGCACACTTTTTCAGAAAATGCAAAAGGAAACATTTTCCAATTCATTCTTTGAGACCAGTATTGCCCCGATACCAAAGGCAAACAAAGACAGCACACGAAAAACAAAGTGTAAATATCCCTCATGGACATGGATCTAAACTCCTCAGCAAAATATTGACAAAATATTCAGCAACATAAAAACAGCATTATACTGAGATCAGCAGTTAGCGTAATGACTATATCGCTGGACTCCCATGTAGTCGACCGTGGTTCGTGTCCCAGACCCAGTGGCTTAAAACTCATGCCAGGCACATGTGTGTGCGTGCCCAAGATCCTAAGAGGAGAATGGAGGAGAAGGGATTGCGGCGTGGCCATCCTCCCTGGGGGGTGATTTCTCGCTTTTTGTCTCTGTCTCTCTCTGTCTGTCCGGTGAGCGCACGTGCCCTATAGCAAAAACCTCTCCAAAAAAAAAAAAAAAAACCAGCATTATACTACATACAATATACCCATGACTAAAAGGTATTTATTTAACATTTGAAATTCAATTAATGTGATATATAATATTAATAAAAGACATAAAAACACATTATCACCTCAGTAGACACAAATAAACATTTGCAAAAAAATAAATTTCTGATAAACACTCTCAACAAACTAGGCATAGAAGGGAACTTTCTTAACCTGATAAAGAACATCAACAAAAAGCAAAATTGCAAGACACAAGATCCACATAAAATAATAGTGGAACTGATCCCACTGAATTTCTACATGCCTTTCCTATTCTTGATTTAGAAGACAACTTCTCTCAGCTCTAGTGAATGGTTTCATGATCATCCACTTAGGAAAAGAAATAATTTGGGTTTTAGAAATTCAATTTTATATAACTACCCCCACAAAATAAAAATAATATGCATTTCCTCATTCTCATTCCTTTTGCAGAGCCTCTGCAGAGATGAGAATTGTCAAAATTACCATTGCTGACACTGGTCTGTGGCAGGCTTAGAGGCAGGTAGTGACCCTAAATATCGTTATCCTTATCCCCCAAATCAGGTTTCTAAACTATAACAGACCTCTTTGTGTCTCTTACCACTCTGTATTTAGGATTCACTGGCTGAAGGACATCTCCAAAAGTTCTGCCTATTGGTGCTCTATCTGGAATGGTAGGAATGAATGAGGCGATCAATTGTTTGAAGTATGGAGGCTCAGGCCCTCTGCTCAGGTTGGCTACTGTGTCCTGGAACAGAAAGCATTTGCTTAAGAAATGATTTACCCATTGTAGAGCAAAAGACCCTTTCCCCAGGCCTCCACCCAGAGAAATGTCTACATACACACAATCAAACATACACAACCTTTAACAATGCGAAGGAAATCTTGCTAAAACATGAGCCTAGATGTCCATAATTTAAACTTTTGTCATTAAGAAGGAAGTTTTGGTCACAGGCAACTAACTCTTCCATTCTCCTAGACAGTGTGGTCTAGTGGTCAAAGTGCAAACTTGAGACCACATTACTCAGGTTTTAGGTACTGGGGTAGTCACTTTTTAACTAAGTAGGTTCGTACAGGGCCCTATAATTCCTGATACAACTTCATACACTGTAATTTGTTTGTCGGTTTAGATAGGATCTCACTAGGTCGTGTCCTCCTGTCTCAGTCTCCAGGGTATCTGGGACTATAGATACATGTCTCCATGCTTGGCTTTCAGGATAGGCTAGAAATCAACACAGGCCTGGGAGCAGCATCTACCAGTGCCCTACTGCAGCTGGGCCTGTAATTATTCTTAAGTTTTTTCATTGTAGAGACTCTTTCACCTGAAGTCAGTACCCAGTTCTTTTTCTGTTTTTCTTTTCTGGATTAAAGAATATAGTAAATATGTTCTTAATTTAAAATTTAAGTATCATCTACTTCCTGACTGCTTTAATCTATGTTTTCCACAAAATGTGCCACCTTTATTAGTGTCATCAAAATGCCTCATTTTTAAATAATCCTTGATACATATTTAATGTTCTTTAATCCACATACATTTAATCATTATGGCAGATATGTGGAATATGTGAGCATTATCGTTCCTATTCTGCAAATGAGAAAATAGGCTTGAAGACACTCAGCGTTTTTTTTTCTTTTTTCAGAATCACATATCTAGTCTTAAAATGTATTATAAAGTTGACACAAAACAAATTTCTATAAAATTAGTCAACTTTTTTTTCACTAGAGATCACTACACAATTTGACAAATCTGGAGCCAGCAGGTGGGTTGGTAATTCATACATGGTGAACCACAGTTTGAGTCCTGGACTCAGTGGCTGGAAAATCATGCCTGTGCATGCCCAAAATTCTAAGAGGAGAATAGAAGAGAAGGGATTGTGGCATGACCACCCCCCCTTGGGAGTGATTTCTCTCCCTCCCTTTCTCTTCCTCTCTCTCTCTGGCACACCCTATGACTAAATAAATAAATAAACAAATAAAGATGTGAAAATCTATTTCTGTAG